AACGTATCTTGTGAGTTTACCAGACAGATGGCATAGGGAACAAAGCTATTACAGAATCGGGTAGTCCTGCTACAAATACTTCTAAACCTCCTCCCAGAGGGGAGCAACAGAAACAGACTGTAAAGTGGGTGTGTGGGGTTTCTAACAATGCTTTGAGCTCTAAGCACATAGTGTTTATAAGCAGCATCCTGAATATCAGGGAGCGAGCTTCCTATGATCTTCTCGACTGTCCTTACCATTCTCTGTATGGACTTTCTGTCTGAGGCACTGCTGCCACCAAACTAGACAGTGATGAAATTTGTTTAAATGCTCTCAATTGTGCCTTTGTAAAAAGTGGCCAGGACAGAAGGAGAGAGATGTGCTCTTCTCATCTGATGCAGGAAATGCAGGCTCCTGTCTAGCTTGTCTAGCTGCTCTTTCAGGCTATAGTGACTCAAGCATCTTCTTTACCTATGTAAAGCCAGTGTGCCTGGCTGAGAAATTCTGGGAGTTGAAGTCCACAAGTCATAAAAGGGCCAAGTTTGAAGACCCCTACTCAAACATAATGGAAAGAATAGGTTCTTCTCTCCCAAATCCACTTTGATTCTTCCAGCTCTTCTTTAAGACAACTCTGGCTTTGTCATCTTCTAACAAATTCTACAACAGGTGCAATAGGCCAGTCACTTGCATTCAGAGGAGGAAGAGGTTAACAGTTTGCCCCAAACCTCAGAATCATTAGCTTATGTAAATACAAGGAGATTCAATTGGAGTCCCCAAATCCAAATACAGCAAGTTTCTATTTGTGTTTGTGATTCAAGGATAAACAAATCCCATAGAAGAGCATCAAAATGTCTTCAGCTGCTTCAGACAACATCAGAAAAAGAATGAAACAAACAAAGGGGTCTGATCAGAATAATCCTAGCTTTTCCCCCTTATTTTCACAACAGGAGCAGCAAATATTTGGGGATTAGCTTAATGGTAGATGTGGGCCTCTTTTTTCATACAGAAGCTGTTTTTTTTTTAAAAAAAAAATCCTTCAAGTCTGTCTTGCCCTCGAATCAAATCAAATCCCTGCAGTTTCCTTGACAAGATTTTGGAAGTGGTTTACCATTTCTAGGACTGAGAGAGAAGGACTGGGCTAAAGCCATCCATCCAGCTTCATGCCTAAGACAAGCTTAGAACTTACATTGGTTTTATGGTTTCTAGCCTAGTGCCTCTAACTACCAGAGCAAATTGATTCACTAAATGCAAGTAGTCCTTGACTTATAACCGCAATTGAGCCCAAGACAGTTGTTGAGTGAGTTTTGCCCCATTTTATGACCTTTCTTGCTACAATTGTTAAGTGGATTACTACTGTTAAGTTAGTAACATGGTTGTTTGTGGGGAAAAATTCATGTGCAGCAAACTGCCATGGTTTCCCTCCCACAAACCTCATAATTCTATAACCTTTTGATACCCTTTGTCCCAATGAAGCAGCCAGAAGGTCATCCCCTTTTGACTTAATGCCTCACCTACCTAAACAGATAATATGCTTAAGTTCCTTCCTGTCTTTGTTAAGCACTTTCTCCTTTTGATCCACCTGTATTTGTTCTTACCTGGCTTTGATCATGTAATGTGTTACCAAGAATTTTCTAATGAAGAAACTTGATGTCAGCATCTAATGTTTAAACTTATGAATGTCAGCATTTAATGGTAAAGCCTATGTATTTAAAAAGTATATAAAAACCAATAAATACACAGAGACTCTCAAGCTGCCTCAAGCTGTGACAAGCAGCTTTGCAGCAGCTTCAAATCTCTGCTCAAGATATGCCTGAGTCTTTTTCTTAGCGTCTTACAGTTGTTAAGTGAATCTTGCTTCCCCCATTGACTTTGTCATGTCGCAAAAGATAATCACATGACCCCAGGACACTGCAACCGTCATAAATACATGCCAGCTGCTTTGCATCCCTCATTTTGATCATGTGATGATGGGAACGCTGCAACAGTTATAAGTGTGATAAACAGTCATGTCACTTTTTTTCAGTGCTGTTGTAACTTCAAACGGGTCACTAAATGAATGGTTGTAAGTAGGGGACTATCTGTATTATATTTCAAGCCAATATAAAGTCTGACATTTATTTATTATTCCCAAAACAATAAAATAAAGCTGTCAACGCTGCTAACATTGGATGTTCTTGCTTTGACAACAGATGAAAATGCAGCCATTTTCTCTGTGCTGTTAGAATTAGTTAGTGCTGGGAGGGGGGATTGGGATGAGAGTTCAGTTAGTCATAATAATAATAACTCTTCCATGGGAATCCAAGGACAAACTGGGTCCGGAGCTGATAATGTTTTGGCGGGCAGGAGAGCTGGGGAGAAAGCCCGCACTTCACGCTAATTGGGGAATGTGCTTTATGACTATTTATTGGGGGTGGGAATTGTACTTTAATACTTTGTATCCAGGGGAGAGGAATTTAGTTTTTGGGTTCAACTATGTAGTGCCGATACTTTGTTTCCCGAATAAAAAATTATTTAAGGAAAACAATGCCTTGAAGTTCTTTTGAAGGGTTTCATCTGTCGGAACCCTGACAAAAGCATCAGGATCTAATCTTACCAAACACATATACTTCCCAAAAATCAAAACAAAAGCTACAAACAACTTTAGCATAAAGAATACCCTTATGCAAAAGAAATAAAACTGGAAAAAGCGTATTTAAGCTCATATATTATATAAAGCTATACATAAACATCTACTTATTTCTTGCATAATAAACTATTGCCATTGAACCTTTTTAATGCACATGGTTTCACCCATTGGGAAAAATACTACAAGTATTCCAGAGGTCAGCCTTGATACCTTCCTAGTCACTCTTTCAGGCTATAGAAAAATACTTGTAGCGTTTTTCCAATGTGTGAAACAACATGCAAGATGAGCCATGGTGGTGCAATGGTTAGAATGCAGTATTGCAGGCTAATTCTGCTGACTGCCAGCAGTTGGGCAGTTCGATCCTGAGGTGGGGTCAAGTAGGTAAAATGAGGACTCAGATTGTTGGGGACAATATGCTGACTCTGTAAACTGCTTAGAGAGGGCTGTAAAGCACTGAGAAGCTGTATATAAGTATAGGTGCTATTGCTATTGTTATAGAGCGCCAGGCATATTCCTTGCCATGTCTACAAGAGACACGATGAGAAAAAAATAAGAATTTCCTTTAAAAATTCCACCTTCATATTTTTCCAGTTCTTTTTTCAGGCAAGAGGAACCAAAGCATCTTCCCAGCAACCTCTTCCTCCTGTGTATGCAAATGAGCATTTGCACGTAGTGGAGGTTAACAAAACCTCGTTCTGATTAAATCTCTGAGAATGAGTCAAGATTTGACTGCAGTCAAAACTCTGAATGAAACTTTCCATAATTGCAATTCAGAGAGATTCCGATTCCAGTTCAAGTTACTTGAATTTGACAAAATACAGAGGTTCCTAGGCTAAAATAGGGAGGACTGAACTGCCTGAAGCTACTTCAATCTTACTTTTGGGGAAATTAGGATGGAAATATCACGCACATCTGCTTTTTCTCAGAGCAAAACTAAAGTCAACTCTAGGGACCAATTCTAATGTAATCCATGGGTCTTTATAGAAAGAAAAACAGAAAACAGACAGAAATCAAAAACTTTTTCTCCCCAAACCCCACCTTGACATTTTCTCAGCTATTATCTCAGACAACAAATCAACCAAATGATTTTCCATTCTGCAATACTTGTAGAGAGGGAACCAGTCTTCTCCTAACACCCCATCTTGACTACTATAGCTCCATGCAAATCAGCTTAATTCAGTTCACATGGAAGATCAGAGATTCAAAGAATGCTGTGTTTTCATTTAAATTTGCAATAAAAGATTCCAGGGCAAACCTGTTCAATTTTAGCTTGCTATTCTTTCAGTCATTTTCCAAAGACTGAAACTGCCCTACTCAAAATCTGATCTAAAAACAGGGGCATCCACAGGGAGTGGATGAAAAAAAAACCCAAGACATTGGGCATAATTGAAGCCCCGTCCTTTCTTTTGCATTTGTAACGAGCCCATTAAAAAGGGGCAAGATTTTGATTTCACAGTTGTGGACAAAATATGTACTAATCAGTCTTGAGCCCATATGCAGAGTGTCAACAGCTAATTAGACAGAACAAGCAGGACCACTCTGACATCTGATCAACACAAACGAAAGGAAAGTGAAGACCTGTGGTAGCCACAACACAGAAGAAACCTAGATTCTACTTGTCAATCCTTCCTCCACTTCTCCACATATGGAATTGAAATTGCAACATGCATAGCATATATAACAACCACAGCAGCATAGAAATCTGCAAAGCCACCCTTTGGTTTGCAAACTGCTTTGATGTGATGGTTCAATTACACCACTGAATCAAGGGACTCTTTTGAAGTTTTGTATTACGAAGTGCACCTCACATTTAGTCTGTTTTTTGGATCTTGACCCAAGTGTTCTGCGATGATCAGTTTCTACACTCTGGCTTTAGAATTTGAAGCCTAAAAGGATAGACTCAGAAGCTTAATGCACTAAATGTATTATTCTAAGTTCCCCTGCAAGATAATAGAAACTGAAGGGAGGGGGAAAAGGTGACAGAACAATGTAGATTTTTCTCTTTATTTCAGGATAATCACCAAATCTTGAAAAAAAAGTGATTGCACAATGCAACATTTTGAAATCTGTTAAAGTCGATAGTTCTTCTAAGTTTTAGCACCTGGGTAGATGGCGGTAGGTTATTAACACAAGCGCTTATCAACTCTTGAGTAAGCTGCAATATCTCCTATCTTTGGAGAAGTGGCAAGATCTGTTTGAAACCCAAATGAGGTGGAATGTGGTCAGACACTATCATTTTTAATACATTAACTTCTCTAATAACAGAGGCTGCAAATCCAGCACTCGGTTTAATGGAATAATTATCTGCCAAAATAGGCCAATCGTTTGCTGATTTAGATAACCCACTGGATTAACTCCCAAAGAACTGAATTGAAAATGTTTTGTGCTCACTCACCCACAACTTATTGATGCGTTACTGACATTCTGATGGTGAGAGTCGTTAATCCAAACTATTGTGTTATTCATGCACACTTTGTTTGGGTCTTCCAGCTCTTGTTTTTCAATGTCATATTGAATAAATGTGTCTGTCATGATCCCAAAAACAATCAGCATGGCTGGCTGGGCTGCTCCATGAAGAATGGCACAGATGCTTCCCAAAAGCATCATCAGTATCTCAGCCGAAGAAGCAAACTTGAACTGTAAGGAATAAGAAGTAGGGCTTGTTCATCAGTAGTTTTCACATCATTTGCTTTTATATTACTAGTCCATTATTTTTATTAATGGCATAGCATTGCATTCTTTCAGGTGTAACATGTCCCTCTTCCTAACTTCAGCTTGTAACAGAGGACCTTCTCAATTAAATCCCCCAGCACAGATAACTGTAAAGATAATCCTCATTTAGTTACCACAACTGGGTCCAGCAACATGGTCATTAAGCAAAGTGGTTGTTAAGTGAAATCACAACTATGCTTACAATCTTCAGATTTCTTTTGCTTTAGAGACCTGTGAAGATTGTAAATGTGAACATTGATTGCAAAGTTACTTTTTCATCACTATTGTAACTGTGAAGAGTTGCTAAAGGAGGCAGTTGTTAAATGAGGAGTACCAGTACAATATCTAGGGAAGAAAAAAGGCTTGACTTTGTGTAGTGAAATGACTGGGACTTCACACTTGATTCTGAAAGCCACTTTCCAGGCTGAACTTCTGTTCAGCCATTTTGCATCTGGCTTCAGTCTGTAAACATTGAGCTTTGAGTAAGTGAACAGCTGTTCCCTTCTCTTTCCCCACCCCCTTGATTTGATACCATAGTTCACAACTGATGATACAGGAATGCAGGTTAGATACACAGTCTTAACAGACTGTGCAGAATGTGCATACATGCATGCACGTATCTTTCTGTTCAATTGTATCTGATTGTCAGAGATTGCCTGGACAAATCCTTGGCAAGGGTTTTCAAAAGTATTTTGCTGTAGTCTCCTTCTTAGAGCTGACAGAAAGTGACTGGCCCACGGTCACCCAGATAGCTTTTTGTCTAAGGTGGAACCAGAACGCACGATCCCTCAATTTCTAGCCTGATGCCTCAACCTCCACTAAGATGGCTCTCATAAATATAATAACAGAGTGCTGATAAACAGAAATGCCTTTCTTGGAAAACTGAGCTTTTGTTTCTGTCTTGATTGGACCAGGTTCTGTGACAGATGAATTGGTGGGGCTAGATAGAAAAGTTTGAGAGCCTTGCTCTCAAGAAACACATTATATGTGAAAAATAATGAAAAGCAGGTATGCTATTACCAGCTGAAAGAATCCAATTCGAATGCCATCTTTTTTCTTGTGTGGTATCCTTCAAAGAAAGAAAAACATGGGGCATTATACATGTAGCTTTTCTCCTTCTAGTAGATCTTCCAGGACCTCCTTCAAACATCCCAAGATGGAAGACAGTATCTTCCTGCTAGCAGATTTGCCTCACAGATGACCCCCATTCAAATCAATCCAGCAGATAAAATATTTCTAGGAGTTGGAGAAGCTCCCTGCTTTTTTGCTTCATATCTTATAGCCCACAGAAGGTAGTTTTATATATATAAAAAAGTACAGCATCACAAATGTTATAAGGTTAGATAGGAGGTGCTGTTTTTCTGTTG